CTGACTCAACGCTCCTTCTTCCTTCGTTTTTAGTGGCTCTGTAAAGGAATGTTGACTAAAGGGTGTTTGTTTTTGGAGCAGTTTAAATACAGTTAGATTAAATATTAACAACATCCCCATTAAGAAAAAAATTCAACCAATAAAAACTATTAATATTTCACTTTATTCATCTTTACATAAAAGTATAATAACTTAACAAACACAAAAATCATTAAAAATCTATCATATATATATATTTCTATCTCATTAGATACAAAGAAAGTCCCATCTGTGTTCTGTGATTTGCATCAGTACATGGATCAATAATCAGCTGATAAACTTTGAAATCCCTTCAGAATTTAGTGCAGAGTGAAGTGAGGTGATGAGTGACTTCAACCTTCACCAAAACTTCACTTCTTTTCATTTACGTTTTTTTTTAACTGACACGGTTTGGCAAGATCACTGCACACGAAACAGAGGCGACGTCAAGGCATCATCTGAAGCGACACTGAGCTTCAAAATGTGGACGAACATGTCACGATGTCGTTAGCATCTCATGCGATTCAAGTAAAAAACGACTTGCTGTTTCGGTGAAGCAACGAATAAAGAAAAAAAAAAAAAGCAAGAATCACGATAAATCTGTTGTGATGGATATGCTGATGAACATAAAGAACAGAGCTCCAACTCTGCTGCCGTACAGTCGACACACTGTAATGAACAAACATGCAACATCATGAGGCCAGTAAAAAATGCTGGGTTGAGAAGATTTTAAACTCTCTTATGAGCCATCACACACTGATTTGAGAGTCTTCATGTGTTTATATTGGAAGTGAAGTGGTCCTAGAATGCTAGCGGGAAAACTAGTTCTTCCTTTCACGGGGACAGTGTAGAGAAAGAACAGATACTGAGACTCAAACCGGGGATCGAACACTCAGAAGGCACACGTCCACATGGCATTCACCTCAACCAATCAGCCACCTGGTTAACCCTGACTTTAACATTTACTGTTGCAGTGTTTGAGCAGTTTCAAAAAGACCAACACACATCATATAACTGCAGTTTGATTCTTCATTCTCTTCCCTCAAGACTTAATTCAAATAAATTCTTCATCTTTTTTTTTGTACATGTATCTGTGATATGCACCAAACTCAAACTCTTTCCAGCGACACAGTTCAGACGCGAGCATCAACTGAAGCCTCTTGTTCGGTAATTTCCACTTTCCAACTTCATGTCATTTCTCATGGCTCCACCAACTCAAACAACTGTGAATATGGAGAAGTTAAGCTCAGGGTATTTGGATGTCCGGACTAAAAAGAAAAAGAAAAAAAAAAAAACCCCTCTGACACAGCTGTACTGCTCTCAGTGAGCAGTAAAGTGGACATTTAGAAGCCAAATATTTACTGAGGAGAATCATGGCTTCTTAGTCAGCCTCTCCATGCCAGCTATAATATTTAGCTGGCTTAACAGCGCCGTGGCTAACATGTCGGCGGTTTTAGAGCTGTTTATGTAGAATTTAAGGCTGGTCAAGTGCACATCCTGTAAACACCGAGCAGAGCACTGAGCACGTCTGTAACGCTGGTTTCAGTTTTTCCAAACTGTACCAAGAAGGTTGAGTGAGATTACATTCGCAGAGGGTACCATTTTGAAGAGGAGTAATGAGATATGACGAAGGACTTGTGGATTTAGAGGTCATTGCTGAGATGACAGACATACCACCAACCAGGAAGGAGGCTGTTGAGCAGACCTCAGTAGACTTCCCCAGATAACTGTGCCCAGTTTTGTTTTGACATATAAAGATCAGCAGTTTCACGGCTGTCAGTTAAATCCAACGCAACAACTAAAGACTGACTGAATGCAAAAGAACAAGCAAAACCTTCCCACCATTAATATGACTCAGGATTTAAACCAAGCCTTTTGCTAAGAAAATATGAATTTCAGATATATAGCACCTCAGCTCTGATTTTCAGGACTGTCACTATTACTGTTTTGTGACAAGTGTGCATATATTAATCAAAATATATCAGAATAGCGTTCAGTCCTGCTTTACAACACAGTGTAAATACCACATGTAGCTGCTTTCACTTGTTTAGACTCTAAAATGACAGTAAAAGTCAATAATAAAAAAAAAAATCAATAATACGGACACAAACACATAAACAAATATACATTTAGTAGTCTGTATAACTCCAAATGGACTGGTTTTGGTTTTGTAATGATTCTGCACAGTCCACTCGTGTGCCTGACCTGCGTAAAACAGTGACACTGATTTAAATCAGAGTCACCAAGAGCCTCCTGTTTCTGTTTTCCTTTTTCAGTGCAGAGTGAGATATCAAAACAGTTCCTTAGAATTCACCGATCCACGCTGCAGTTCTTGGTTCTTCATGTGATGCTACTTACTGTAGTCCTTTCAGCAGTGACACAGCATAGGGGGGCACTTCAACCCAATGTGGAGCGAAGCCCGTTATTCCCAGCCACTGAGCTCACCTCCTGGTTTCTTGCACTGTTCTGCGCTCCTCGTCCTCTCAGAGAAGCGCTCGCTGCTGTTCTTCCTGTAGAAACGCCTGTTTCTCCATCAGCTTCCTGAACAGTCCTTGCCTGTTTCCCAGCAGCTCTGTGGGCTGCCCGCACTCCACTATGCGTTGCTGGTCGAGCACAGCGACGGCGTCTGCGTTCTTAATGGTGGACAGACGGTGGGCGATGATCACTACAGTCCTCCCTGTTGATGAGTGAGAAGGGCAGGAGACAACAAGGAGAGTCAAAAATGAGTTTGATGTTACATGTGTGATGGATTTTTGAAAGGAAGAGACAGAAAAGACGACAAGATGTACCTTCCATCAGACGCTCCAAGGCCTCCTGGACGAGGAACTCATTCTCAGCATCCAGTGCGCTAACGAAAGATGGTTGTTTAGAATTTTCTTCATCAAAATAACACAAGAGATGTCTCCAACCAGCATAATGGAAACCAGGCTTTATAAAGACAGTGCCAGTATCATATTTTATCTAATGTCTGTACTCCTGATCAGTAAATAATGGCAAAAGAATCAACACAGACTAACTGTACTGCAACTAAAACACATCTACTGGCTGATCTGTACAATTTGGCAAATTGAGTGTTTGTGTTCTCACCTGGTAGCTTCATCTAAAAGCAGGATCTTAGGATTCTGTGGAAAGAAAACCCCAAACAGTGTTAAAGATACAAATTCAGGTTTCATATCAAAAGAAAAGCTGAGACTAAAGCTGTCAAGTTACTTGTGTTGCTCAGTGAAAGGACTGATTAGATACAGATGATGACGGTCTGTAAGCAACGACAGGAACAGCCAGTGTAGTGACCTACACCAGATGTTCTACAATTATCTGGTTAGTGGATGTCACAGAGCAAATGGAAATAAGAAATCAACAATATCTGGAATGAGATAGAGAGTCATGTCCTTATACTGAAATGTCACAACCAACATGCTGAAAAAAATACACTTAAGAGTATTCTGGGTTGATTCATGAGTGTGTGTTTGGATTACACTATATGAAAGGTGTGCTCAGATTGTGTCTCTTATAAAATGTAATTCAACAAACGTAAGAGGAAATGTGTAGTGATGACCTGTAGAATGACTGAGCTGAGCTGTGTTTTTTTTCCCTGATGTGTAATAAACAGACAAACAACCATGCTGTTGTATTTACCTTGAGCAGAGCTCTGGCGATGGCTATTCTCTGCTTCTGACCACCTGAGAAACAAACACACGTTACCCATGTAGACAAATGTAAAGAATACATCTAAATAGTGTCTTCTGCACTGGATCATTAATGGGTAGCTTCTACAGCTATTTTATATCCTGTGAGTAGGAATAATAGATTTTTTTTTTCCAAGATTCTTTTCAGGAGTAAAATGATAAATGAAATAAAGATGCAAAAGAACAATAGTAAGTAAGTCTCAATGAACATTACAGCTGGTTACAAGATAGAAAAAAGACTAAATGCTAAGGGATATAAAATAGTGAAGAACTAATCTAAAAAAAATTTAAATAAGTGGTTTTTAATGAGACAGACCTCTGGCACTCATGCTAACAAGTTTAAAGTCTGAGCACATCTGCCGGAGAAGACGTGATCAAAGTATTAGGAAAAACAACTGACCAGAATTCTGCACAAAAAATGTGGACACACCATAAATAAAAATATTTGTAAGAAAGCTACAGGATAACTTTTAAAAAAGGCTTTGAAACAGTAGGAGCTGTTGTCTTTAATAAATGTAAAACATATATTTTTAATGCAGATCTTAAATACATTTCTTGGATTATTTTTGAAACCTTTTTTCTGATCAGAACTTTGATAGATAACTGTGATGAACATTTTTCTAACCTTACTACAACTCGTGGAAAGCTGACTGTTGTGAGGCGAAGCAGGTGTTGTCGCTATTATTTGATTGTGTCCCTCAGTTCCTCACCTGACAGCAGCACTCCTTTCTCCCCAACCACAGTGTCAAAGCCCTTAGGAAACCTCTGGACGAAATCATAGGCGTTGGCCACTCTGGCAGCCCTGTAGATGTCCTCAGTGGTCACAGCATCTGGGTCCACAGCACCGTAGGCTATATTATCTCTAATGGAGCAGGAAAACAGCACCGGCTCCTGGGAAGGCAGGTGGGACAAGGAGAGGAGGAGAGTGAGAAGGACACAAGGAAATATTTTTTGTCCACCTACTGTAAATAAAAACAGAAGTGTTGTGTGTCTGCCAAACTTAACGTTGTGTGGGTCACGTGTTGCATAAAACAAGTTAAATATTAATTCACTACCTGGCTGACGGTTCCAATGTGACTCCTTAGCCAGTAGGGATTTAGGTCCTTGATGTCACGACCATCTACAGTGATGATACCTGGAAACAAAAAGCAAAATAATTTTACATCCTTCTGCTTATTTTATTCTGTCACCACCAGATTTTCTAAGCATCTAATAGCCAACCAGTAGCTGTGTAACAAGTTTGCTCTCACCAGCATCTGGGTTGTACAGCCTGAGCAGCAGTGAGACCAGGGTTGACTTCCCCGACCCGCTGGACCCCACCACCGCCATAATGGTACCAGCCGGGACTGAGAGGCTGAGATTCTGGAAAATAGGAGCCTCCTTACGTGTCGGGTACGAAAAAGAGACATCACAGAACTCTAGCTGGCCTTTCAGCTGGTCTGCAGGGAGGACTTGGCCTTCTGTGGAGGAGCAGAGTGAGAGGGACACAAGTGTTTAGTTTGACTCGCTTGACTGGCAAAAATATGGATAAATCAGAGGTAGAAGAGGTTTGATATGTTTATTAACTGACAATAACAAATGGAATCCTCTGATTTTTCAAGCAATCTTCATTGTTTGAATGTGTGTTATAAATGGTAACAAATAACTCTTCTGACACTGAATAAACGAGGTGTGTCAGAAAAGTTCCAGGACTGGTGTCACAAAAGATAGATTTCAAACCCAAACTACAAGTTTTTCCCTTCAGATGATCAACCAGCACGTCTACAAAGAGATCCTGCAGCATTTGCTTTGTTCAGTGGAGAAGAGGTCAGTTTGCTCACAATGCCCTGAGAATCCCACAGTTCCTGGTTGAGAAGAACATCTCCGTGCTGGACCTCCCTACTCACCCCACCTGGCTCCGTGGGATTGTTTCCTCGTCCCCAAGCTCAAGGGGGTCATCAAGGGAACCTGTTTTGAAGACGTGGACGACATCAAGATGGCTGTGACGACAGAGCTGCAGAGGATCCTGGAAGAATCTTTCCAGGTGTGCATGGCGGCGTGAAGAGAAGGCTGGGAAAGTGTGTTAGACTCCAGGAGGATTACTTGCAAGGGGAAAAGTTGTAGTTTGTAGTTTGGATTTGGAATATATCTTTTGTGACATCAGTCCTGAAACTTTTCTGATACACCTCGTACGGTACAAAAATAGGTGGTCATTCATGCAGTGAGGTTATTCTGTCCTGAAGGGGTGTGTGTGTGTGTGTGTGTGTATGTGTGTGTGTGTGTCTCTGTATAAACGGACCATTTAGTGGAAACTCTGGTTTTCTGTCCAGCAGCTCCCACAGTCTTGCTCCCGCTCCAAAACCCTTCATGAGCTCAGAGTAGAATGAACTCAGACCTGCACATCAAGTGGAAGAACATCACACTATTAGCAGTCACACACACACACACACACACACACACACACACACACACAAACCGTACACAGAGATGTAGACCGTACAGATCAGGAAACTCCTAAATCTGAACGCATATGCTTTTCTTACCTGCGATACTGATGCCCACCCAGAAGGTATACATGAGGAACGATGAGAGCTCTCCCACAGTCATGTGCTGACTGGCCATCAGAAGGCCTCCTTTGTAGAGAACTGCCAGGATCATGAGGTTACCGCTGAGGCCAGTCTGAAACACACAAACACACACAGATTATGTTATTTAATTACGGCAACATCTGGTGTCACTGCTGCTCCCTGACTGAGCTCAGAGTACAGATGATGGATGAGCCTCGTTACTAGACTCTCTCTTGATGTCCGTTACAACCTACAATTCACATTCAATTCAATCATTCAATTCAAGACATGAACTAGAGACAGCGCCTTGACCAGCAGATGCAGGCAGGATTACACAAACACACACATACTCAGCTTCACAAGGTTTCCTGTAAACAATAAGGAAAATGTTCTAAGTAATGATCAAGTTAGTACTTCTTCCTCATCATGCTAAAAGTTTATTAGACCTGCTGAGCTAAATATGATCATATTCAAAGCCCTACAATAAATTTTATCTTATCACACAATGTGCATTTTCTTGTTGACACTGTACCGGAGAGGTTTTGGTTAGATTGAAAGGTCTTTCTGACATTTAAGCCTCATTTAACCCGACCTTTGGAACAATTTATCAGATGAGAAATGCATACAGATGCCCAATTGTTAAATAATGCGAAGAGAAAAACCTGCTTCAGAGCTAGAAGGCTTGTGTCACTTGAGCCATTTTAACACCGCTTTTAAACCACACAAGCTGGACTTTGTGCTCTGTGTCCTTGTAGGGAGGATTGGATATTGCTTTTTTATGGGGAAACAGCTCATTTCAGAGGTAGTGGTATTGTGACAAACCTGAAGTACGGTAGCAAAAAGGAGAAGTGCATGTGTAATACCTCATTTGCTAACAGGGGATTTGGTTTGCATCACTGACAGGACACACACACTTACCACTCCAAAGAAGCCAGCTCGCATCACAGCCTCCTTTCTAGCCAGTCTGAGGACGTGGTCCGTCTTCAGTGTGTACGTGTCGACTTCTGACAGCTCTTTACCAAACGCCCTGACCGTCCGCAGGTTGCCAATTCGCTCCTCTGCCAACTACACACACAGACAACACAACTTTATGAAAGCTTTTTTTTGTTCTGATTGCAAATCAAATTATCAAGCAAATGTACTTTATCTGTTTATTTAATTTAAACAGGACAGGCAGTACTGCATTCATATCACATGTACACAAAACTGGGATGGACAAACAGTACAGCCTCACTGACCACTGATATGAAACTCATTTAAATCCCAAAATGACAAAACCACAGATTAACTTTTAACAACAAAAAGACACTACAAGAGAAAACTGTTAGTAATTCCACCATTCCCACTGCAGCTTCTTCAGTCTGCTTGCGTACCTGTGTGGCCTGTGCGAGTGCGTCCTGGGTGTGTTTGGAGATGGAGCGAAGGTATCTGCCATAGACCACAGCAAGACCGGCCAAAGGAGGGACAATGAGCAGCACAAAGCTTGCTAGACTGGGGGAGATGTAGAACTACAAGAGGAGAGAGAGAAGACAGAGCAGGAGTTAATGGAAATAAAACCAGAGGGAAAAAAGAAAGAAAAGAAAGGAGAGGGAGGCGTGGAAGATAGGAGGTTCCAAACAACACTGTAGTGGTGGAATTAGAGGAAAATATCTAAAATCTGACCTCGTATATCACTCAACTCAACTTTATTTAAAAAGCACTTTAACACAACGAAAGTCGAAACAAAGTGCTGAACACAAAATATAAAACATCTAAAATGCAAAATACAATAAAAGTATGATAAAATCATTAAAAAGGACAATAAGAACAGTAAAAACAATAAAATAATAAAACAGGAGTCTCATGCCGGGTCGAAGGCCAGGGCATGATAATGAGCTTTCAGACGGGTTTTAACAATGGACAGTGATGGTGTTTCTCTAACGTGCAGCAGCCAATAATTCCAGAGCCTTGGAGCTGCGACTGCAAATGCTCTGTCCCCTCTGAGCTTCCATCTAGACCTCAGAACCTCCAGAAGCAGCTGATCAGCTGATCTGAGATGCTGAGCTGGCAAATAAAGAGAAATCAGCTCAGAGAGGTACTGTGGGGCAAGACCATGTAAGGATTTAAAAACAAACAAAAGAATCTTCAAGTGAACTCTAAAATGTACAGGCAGCCAGTGAAGCGAAGCTGAAACCGGTGTAATGTGGTCTCTCTTACGAGCTCGAACCAGGAGACGAGCAGCCGGACTAGCTGGAGACGTGAGAGAGAGACGACTGGCTGACTCCAAAATAATGTAGAAACTAGAACCAAACTTTAATTTCTACTGTATTTGTGTACCTGTGTGTACATTTGTGGCAGCGGATCCGTGCACTGAGGAGACTAGAGGATCTGTAGTAACTACAGTAAACTGTTTCTGCACAGAGTTCTCACAGTAATTCAACTACTGACAATATTAGTGCATTTTGCAGCAAAGCTTAAAACTCAAACAATCCTCTGAATATGCCAGAAAAAAAAACATTTACTTTTCTAGAGGAAATAATATGTGGCTTTCATGCAGAAGATAAAAATGATGACTCTGGATTTCACTGCAGCAACTGTGTAGAAATCTGTGTACAGACGCTCAGAGTGTCACCACACAAGAATTAAATAATGAGAGTGCACAGCTGTTCTCTCAGTTTTAGGACCTGTCCGGTTTAACACTTGATTACAGTAATCACTTCCATTCCCACACTGCTCATTACACCAGGAAATCATTTGACTTCCTTGTGAGGTAAACAAACTGCTTGCTGTGAGCACGTCTTGTGTTTTATGATTTTCTGTTCCAGAAAGCGCAATTAGCGAACGCGGAACCAGAAAGACATCATGTTTTATAAAAAGAAGAAAAAAAGCTTCAGTTAACAGACCTGCTCGTTAACAAATCTCTAATTATATACATTTAAGTTAACTGACTTGATTGATGCCAACATTTTAAAAATCCAGACAGACTGATGACAGAACGTACGTAGCCAGATGAGCATCAATTTGATTAATAAGCCGACAATAAAAAATAACTTCAGCAACTTGTTGGTCAGCATTGTGTATATGTGACACGTACACATGTATTGTTAGTAATGAGCAGAGCTTAACAGAGGTGTGGCAGTTGTTCATCAGAGTCCATCCATTTCCTAATAGGGATTAAAATCATTTTAGTAAACTTGTTTGGCAAGAGTAGCACAATAAGTGTGTAAAGATAATCACAACAGCTTCCTTGTAGTAAACACAAAACAAGACATGCCCACATCTCGCTCTGTTGTTATCAGATTAACGGAAAAAAGCACAATGAGCTCCTATAGAAGCAAAGGAGACAAGGAAGTCTCTGAAGGGCTCTTTCTGACATGTCAGGTTGAAGATGACATTTCACACCATTCCTCGTTTCTAAAAGCAGGCTGATGACAGAAAAACACTGTCACAAGAGAACTATTTCCGCGGCTAATAAGACAGTGAGCGTGCTCTTATTTTGTAATGATAATCATTTATTTCACGGTATAAATGACATCTGCTTCTCCGTCGCTCAGAGAACCGAGCGACCGCAGCAGAACACTCGTGCTCACCATCATGCTGACACCAGCAGCTGCCTGGGCGACGGCTCTCAGCCCGTCTGACAGGTTGTCTGTGATTGAGTGGCCCACCACCGCCGTATCCGCGGAGAGCCGGTTGATGAGCTCGCCCGTCCGATTCCTGTCAAAAAATGCCACTTCTTGTCTGAGGATGGAGGCGAAGACGGAGGCGCGGAGATTACGAACAATCTGTTGGCCTGAAGGGAGAAGAGATTAGTGAGGGAGACGGCGACTGCTGCAGTGAATCAATCAGCAAAATAATGGAACAGGTAATTAAGAGAGAATTAATCAGGTGATAAACTGTCCCAGAGAGTCGGCTAATAAAAATGCTACGCTTATCTACAGCTTAACACATTTGAAAACATTCTGAAAACATGACTTTGGGCTTTTTAAAATCATGATTAGCAATTGTAGAATATATAATCAATTAACAAACAAAAAGAAAATGTATTAAAGGGATTGATCAACATTGTGGGAGATGTTCTTGTTCATTTTTTTGGTATAGATCTCAGGCAACGGTCAGTGCAGAAAGGTTTAAAATCTGCTACCAGCACCTCTAAAGCTGGCTAAAACGCCACCTCGTTTGTTTAATCTGAGCACAAACAGAAAGATTGCCAGGCAACCTGCAGAACATTCAGGAAGTCTCTACGCCTTGATGATGGCTGGAAACAAATAACTGCAGCGTGTAACTTTCCATAAACCCACAATGTGTCATTTCTGTTTGTTTATGGATAAATAAACTAGACACAATGTGTTAGTAAAAGGACACTAAAGGAACAGGAAGGTAGATTCTGTCAGCTGTTTCCCCTGCAAACTGCACCTCCCTCTAGTTTTACTTTCACAAGTTAAACAGATGTGAGAGCCGTCTTCAAATCTAAGTCTGAGCAAACACTCAGATGAGTCAAGGTGCACATTTCTCACATTCTGCTCGCTGATACATGAATCAGTGAGGTTACATTTAGTCTCAGCTGTATCTACTGCATACTTTTTAATGAGCAATTGTCTGACAATGTGTCTGTTTTTCTTGACGCGACCTCTCCTCGTCTCACCTGAAGCCTGCATGAGGTAGACTCTGGCAGCATTGGCTGCTCCACCACACAGGAACACTCCCGTCAGCATGATGCACAGCGACGTTAGAGAGGCCGTCATCGTCTCCGTGTCTGCTCCAGCGGTGTAAATGGTGTCAATCACTCTGCCCAGGAAGAAGGGAGCCGACATGCTTACTGCACTGGAGACAGTCAGGAAGCCTACAGCAGCTGTGGTGGACAAGAAGAAAAGACAGAAATGCAAAGAAAGATCAGAATCACAGCAAAAAATAAATAAAAAAATCAATTGTGGAAAGTAAAACCCTGGGCTATGAATTATAACATAAATTCTTATCTTTGAATTTCGAAAGACTTATTCTTGTCACCTCTAATAAACAGACTCACTCATGCATTTTGTCAAACCTGAGAACACTGAGTTCAAACGGGGTCAGAGCAAGTCACAGGTACTTCAGCAGTGTGAGGGAGGGGAAACCTAAAAAAAGCTCCCATGTCCACAGTACAAAGTGCAAAAGCAAAGTACAATGAGGCGGCCTGTTGGGACACATTGCACAAACGGAGAGAATGTGGCTGCCAGATGGACAGGTAGAAATTGAGGAAATGAAAATATGGTATAAAAACAAAAGTTCTCTGCACATTTTGCATCAGAACGAAACTGAATCAGATCCTTCTCAACATGAGTGAGTGCTGAAATGTTGGCACAGTTTTGCCCATCTGACAGTCACACCTCAAAGGAGAATTTAGACTTCCATTCCACACTGTGGGACTTTTAAAACAGGCTCGCAAAAAAATCCCCTAAAACCCACAAACAAAATTTACTGACAATCAGGAAGTAAACACTAGTTTGTTCTATGAAATCCCCTGGAACAAGCAGACATAAGTTTGGAAGTTTCTGTCCTGTGTAGCCGAAATGAAACAAAGAGAGGTTTTGGGGGAATGATGATGCACAGATGAAAGATAAGAGGAGAAAAACATCAGTTCTGAGACTTAACCCGGCTGACAAAAGGTCACATCTAAAGCCAGCAGGGGCCATTTTTCAGTCCAATAAAGTGTTGGGAGCTTAAAGGCAGTGTGCTCAGTGGAAGAAACAACCCAATAAAAGTGAAAGTGAAAACTGTGCCACTGTTTGTAAGCCTTTAAACAATATGAGACCTTTTTGAAGTGAAGCATCTAAAGGTCAGGAGATGTTTTGTGGATGTGATGGAACATGTAAATACAGTTTACCTGCCAGCGTCCATCTCTCTGGGTGGGCAAGTCGCATAATCCTTCTGACATCCTGCAGGGGGACGGTGGTGGGAGTCTTCTCTGTGTCCGTCTGGGTCTTCACTGACCCGGCTGATGTGGAGGCTGCTGAGGAGCTGGCGAAGGCAACAGGTGTGTGTGTCCTCGTTCGGCCTGGAGGTGTGTGTGAGCCCAGAGCTGTGACTGGTCTGTAGGGCAGCACCGTCAAGAAGGTCCTGGAGGAGCAGGGAGAGAAGGCAGCAGCCGGATGGACCGAAGACTTCACCCCGGTGGACTGCCTCTTCCTCCGGAGGGCAGCCGCTCCAGCCGGCCGGTGCTCCAGCCACAACAGCCTGGACTGGGTCAGCTTCAGTCTGCACAGATGCATCCTGTGCGTGCAGTTTGACAGCCGGATTAAAAGCCGCATTGTCCCAGTTGTCAGTCACTGATCCGATGCTTGGGAAATTTAACAACCAGTAAAAAAAATAAAATAATAAAAATCAATAAATCTGTGTATTTCCGTGTCGTCCAGCCGGACTCAGTGCCTGATTTGTTTCCTGCTCGGCGAGTCCACCAGGGGAAACATGTTAGTGCTCCAGCCGGTTGGTCAACACGCCGAGCCCTCCGCCGTTCGTCTGTGGAGCTTGTGGTCGCTACATTGTCCAGATCAGACCGTTATTATTGCTTTTATCTGCCCCTGACAGCCGCCTTTAACCCACTTTTATCTCTTATCGCCGAGCGGCTACCAACACCCAGCCTGTCACTGTCATCTGCCGCTAAATGTTAGCTTGGCAGGCGGGCGGAGTGCGAACACACGTCAACGGAGAACGACTAACACCAAACCCGCCTTACGAAATAAAGCTAATGTTGCTGTAGAAGGGTTAAAATCACAGAAATGGGAAAAGGTGACCCTGGTTCGGCTCGCATGTACACACGATTCCTCCTCCTCGACGGGAATTCAGCGGCTGATGATATAAGCAAAGTTTCCCCAGGCCTAACCAAACAAACTCAGATCGTCAGTATCAGTCATCAATGCTTCGTTAGCGGTTTAAAAGGGATCCAAACTAAAAGTCAGCGTTATTTTTGTACACAAAAAACACAAAGTCAATATTATTTTTTATTTAGTTCATACAGACACTCGTATATTGCCTTAGAACGGCCAGGACAAGAGGCATTTACTCAATTATTTCCTCGACAACCAGATTTTGCCTTTCTTTTTAGTTTATTCAGAAAGTTATTAAACTCTAATAATCAGAAATCTCTCTATTAAATGCAGTTCCTAATGCAGTCTCCATGATAACTGAAGGAAACAAGCAAATTGGTGCCTCTGATAGTTGAACCGCTGGCTGAAGTTTTACATCGACTCTCGATTGCTTCGGCCTGGCCAGCAGGGTGAAAGTTGAAAGTTCGTCTAAATCTGAAAACAGGAGACACGTGCGGGTCGAAAAGCAGTAAGTTTTATCAGTTAAATGTCTACATGTGCACTGAAGTGTAACTTAAACAAGTAAAGCTGAAGCTCGGCGATGGTTTGCTTGCGTGCAGACGAATAGCAGCCCAGGTATTAGCCTGTTTTGACACTAGCAAGAGTATGCTACGTAGCTAGTCGTTAGCTTCAAAGCACATCATTCTGTGTGTACTGTGTAAATCAGACAGGCTGCGAACACATGAGACAAGTAAAACTTCCTTGTCCATTGCACCTGCACCAAATTGTACAAAACTTTCTCGTTTTCCATCCTTGCTTAAACTGACTGTATACAAGATTTGGTCATCTGGTACTTCTAGGTTAGCTATATTAAAAAGAAAACTCTGTCTTTATGCCTAAAAGAAGATTCAGGGTTTGTGTGGGTGCTTACCTGGTGGAACAAACATCCTTCCTATCTCTTCTGATTTAGTATTTCTCCGTGTCCTTGTGTTATCTAAACAGTTATATCTCAGTAAAGCCCTGCCCATTATCAAAAGTTTTCAGCTTTCCTTGTTTTGTTTTTTTAAAACTTTGATTTCTATAGTACATCCTTCTTTTTCTAGCCACCGACTCCTTCCCCTCTCCTCATTTCTCAGTGTTTATTTCCTCGATTTCTTTCCTTGCCTTAAAGAGGCAAAAGGAGAGAGGAGCCGAGGCAACACTCAGTTATTAGTCCTGCTCCTGCTGTATGTCACGTCACTTTAATACATCACGGTTGCCAAACAAACTTCCACTAAGGATACATCAAGGACACACCTGTGCTTCCTCGCTTATAGTTTGTGTCCTCGAGATGCATTTCAGGAGCTGTGATATCCTTGATGATGGCACAACAAAAACTAATATCCTCACAGGCAGAAGAACAGAAGACAGAGGAGATGAGGTGATTAAAAATAGTGAAATGAAACGAGCCTGTTGTCTTCTCTCTATCTCCCCAGGCTAGTAGCAGCAGCAGCAGCAGCAGCAGCAGCAGCAGCAGCAGCGATGGCTGCCATCTACTCAGGGATTCACCTGAAACTGAAAAGTCCACAGACTCCATGGGAGGACAAACTAAAGCTGGCACGTTTTGCCTGGATCTCCTCTCTGTGCCTGCTGCCCAACAAAGAACAGGTAACACATGAAGTTGTTGCATGTTCACAGGATAATAATGATGCTTTTGCACTTATCTAGATTGTTTTCTCCAGACTAGATCCTTGCTTGTGTTGTATCTGCTCTCAGATGTACATCGCTTTGGATAAAAGCGTCTGCTAAATGAAATTGTAGAATTGTATATTTAATGTGGCTGTGTTCCTTGTACCCTCAGAAATTGTAGATGCTTTATACTTAATGTGGGAAGTGACTGTCCATTTTGGCATGACAGCACATGAATGCTTGCCATCTAGTTCTTTACATGTTTTTCTTGACCCTCTCCGTCTGTAGGTGCTGTTGGACTGGTGCACTCATGCCCTCACAGGCTGGTACAGTAAAAAGGTTGAGTTTTCCCTGGATGTCTTGGAAGGTCTGTGGTGCTACCTCGATGACGTGCTTCACAGCCGGAAGCTCCAGTCTCTGCTCAAGCAGGGAAAGACCGTCAGTCTGAGGCTCAACATGGCACAGGTGAATCAACGCTTCAATAAAAACACCAAAACAGTACAAAAAACATGTTTTTCATTCAACAATACATATTATTTTGTATTTTCTTCTGTCACTAAAGAGAGCATCTGAGGAGTCACATACTGGATTAATCCTCTAGATGTAGAATTTATACTCATCAGGACACACTACCCTAGAAAGCTCCTAGAATAAGTGGTACATTGGTGCATGGAGGTTTTACTGACAGTTTATTCTCTGTTTGCCTCTAGCTGCTGGTTGAACAGCTTCAGGAGTGTAAACATGTTGTCTCCAAGGCACCGGTGTGTGTGCCCACCATACTGAGTGTGTGTCGGGGTATTCTCTCTTCCCCTGCGCTCTCATCTGTTTTTACCACTAAATATGAACTAATGGTCGATCTGCTGGCCAAGCTCTCGTCTTTGGCCTGCCGTGAACTGCAGCAGCCACTACTCACAGAACACAAAAAGACAGAGGGTGACACATGTCAAGATGAAGTGATGATTGAGTGCCTTCAAACTGACCCTGCAACTAATCTGGAGCGTTCCCAAACGGACCCGATCGATGACCATCAGCCGGAGTTAGATGCTAATAAATTCCCTAAGAAGCCAAAGGAAACCCTTCATTCAGCTAATTTATTTGAGGTGTTGCTTCAGGTGCTGTCATGTTATCTGTCAGTGCAGAGACAACAATCCAACCCTAACAGAGTCTTTACTATGGTGACCAACCAGCTGCTCCAGCCATTAGTCCTGCTCCGGCACCTGCTGACCTCTGGAGAGTTTACACCTTCTCACACACAGCTTCGCCTCCGTCAGCAGCTGTGCAGAGACGTTCGCATCAAGATAGACTCCATCCTTCAGTTAGCCCTGTTCCCTGCTGAGCAGATGAACTCATACAAAGAGGAGCTGTTACCATCGAAAGAAGATTGTGGGAAACGTGGTTCTGGAGGGACAAAAGGGCCTTTGAAGCCAGCCGGTGCTTTGCTTTGTAAACTGAGCGCCCAGGGCTACTGTGAGCCGTCGCTGCACTACTCTGTGAAGTCCAACGCACTGTGTCTGTTGTTTAAGTTTTTCCTGGAAAAATACGGCAAAGGGAAGGGAGAAGGCGAGGAGGAGCAGAGGATGCTGTGCTTCTATTTTCTCATCAGACTGGTCCCAGCGTTAGATGTTCATATTGATGCATGCTCAGCCTCACCTGCCAAAGCGGAGCAGCCGGACTCTGTTTGCTCCAGGCAGAAGTCACCTCCAGCCTCCCTCTGCTCCCCAGAGAGCTGGAGCCTGGCTCTGCTGGCTGTGGAGTCCCTGCTCAGCCAGGCTCTGTCAGCTGATATTTATAATGTAGCAGCAGACAGGATTCGACATGGAGAGGTGCAGCTCAGCTTTTACAGAGCCTTGGGACAAATGCTCTTCAACGAGGCCCAGCCAAGGTAGCAGACTGCTGATGTGTTTTTTATTGTCTCTACAAGATTTTTCCCACACAAAATTGTTTTGTCTAACCTTTTACTTTGTACACATGCTGAACAATCTTCCTGTCTTGGCTTTCAGCATACCTGCATGGTACCGCTGCTTTAAGGTGCTTTTGAATCTCAATCACCTGATTCTTGAGCCAGACCTGGACCAACTGTTATCTTCAGCGTGGGTTAATGCTGAATGCATGGAGACACGAGTGCAGCGGGCCAGACAGGTATTGATTTAATCAGTTGCATTTTATATTTCACAGAATGCAACAAAAAAATCCAAATTCAGAACTGAAAACAAAAAAACGTGGCTATGCAGATGAACATGTTTGACAGAGGCAGTATTTGTTTCCCAACAGCTCATGGTGTGCAGCCTCCTCCAGACCTACACTAAGCTCCGTCAGCTGCCTCGTCTCTTCTCAGAGCTCCTGTCTGTGATCTGTCAGCCAGCTCTGGATGACCTCCGACCTCCTCTGCTACCTGAAGGCATCTCCACGTCTCTCAGGACTTGTCTTCTGGACACACCCCTGTCCCAGGGCCTAGAGATCTGCTCACTAGCGTTGGAAAGCATAAAGAAATATTTACTACCTGACCTGGTGACAGAGAAGATGGACATTGAGGGAGAAAAGGGGGACCAAGAGAGAAAAGATGCATCTCTGAAGCTCTCCTCTCTCAGTCAACTGCTTCACACTGTTTTGTTTAGTCTAAAGACCCTTGACAACGCCTCTCCTGTTCTCTTTGTCCGGCAAAGCAAAAGCCTGATGGAGGCGATGCAGCAGTTAGTCAAAGAGATACTACATGTGTTGACAACAGAGAAGAAGCCAAAAATCGGAGCACTGTGGGAACAGAAGACGCAGGAGGCCGCTCTCCTGCTCAGATACACCTGGGTGGAAGTGGACACGCTCTTCCATATCCACTGCAGCAAATACACATCTCTTGACTCAGCCCAAACAGCAGCTGGTAAAGAGACTGAAGACCAAGCTTGTTCCAGTTCTCCAGTCCTAACCCACGTGGAGAGTCTTCTATCGGGTGAGATCTTACCAGCACATCTCCATCCCTCCCCCTCCTGCAGCCCCGTGACCTGCTTGCTGCTCAAACTCCTCACTTTACAGCAGATCAAGAAGGTTTTGTGTGATACCACCTTACTCTGCGAATCCAGCACTGCTGCACTGCTAAACAGAGCAGCCCAGTTTATTTTAGCTAAGTCAGAGCTTGAGATGAGTCTGGATGGAGAGCAGGTGTGGGACGGGCAGATAGGTAGTGTAAATGCTCGCTCCTACCATGTAGCACACTGGCATCTTATCACATCCAATTTGCCTTTGATTGTTCCTCACCTGAGTGGAGAAGATGTTGTCTGCATAGCAAATGTACTTGTAAGTTCATCGTTGACCAGACAGACAGACAGACCCAAAGACCAGCTGCCCGGCCATCTGACTGTCTCCCTCATATCTTCCCAACTTCTCCAAAGTGCAATTCTTGCTGAGTTGCCTTCACTGTTCTCTGCTGTAGTTCAGTCCTTCACACAAAGGATCATCAATGTGCTAAAGGCAGCACATACACCGAAGGTCTGTCCGACGCTCCTGACATTTGAGGGGAAAGAAACTGGAGCTACTTCTTCTGAGAGAGATGCCAGTCAGCCTCTGTCCTCACTGATGAAGAAAGAGACTATTATTAAGGATATATTAGCTTCTTCTAAAACTGGAGAGGTGCCTGTACTGCTGACTGGAGCACAAATCAAGGAGCTGATAGACTTACTCCAAATCTTATCAAACCTAAATCCAGATGGGATGAGCTCCAACGACCTCTCCTCTATTTTCCTCCTCCTCTTCTTCATGCTCACCTCCACCTCCAGTCGGCCTGATCAGGTAGCTGCGGGACCTCCTGAATCTGGAGGTGAGGCTGTGTTCCTCGGGAAGCTGCTCAGGATTCTGACTTATCTCGTAGAGAGCAGAAACTTCCAGAGTGTTTTGAAACTCATCCACAGTAGTACTCTGCTGCAGGCTGCCGTGTCGTCTCTCCTGTGGCGTAGCAACAGTGCAAGATTTCAAGCCACATGCAGCCCAGGTTGGTTGGATTTAATCAAAGAAATGCAGGGCTTCATAAGATCCTTGGTCCAGTTGATTATAATAAGGAACAGCAGCGTTCGACTCAACCTGGACCAGTTTGCTTCTTATCTCACCAGTGAGGCAATGAAAAGTAGGAGTTCAGGAGCAACATCCATGTTGTCTGTTCATCTTCTGCTGGCGTCTCTGACATCGTTCTCCCAGGCAGTGACCTCTAATTTGGGAAGAAGCAAGCCAATGAATCAAACTTTAACTCAAATGCTCACAAGAGCGACTGCTTCACTGGGACCGGCCGTCGAGTCCGTCCTGAAGCCCCAGACTGCGAGTGAGACCGACATCCAGCCAGCATGCATCCTCGGTCAAGCCTTTGTAGCCGAAGTTGTCACTGTCATGCTGCACTCTGAGCTGTCCTCGCTGTCAGTGGAGGACGAGGACAAACAGAGCGGCTCCAGACTCACCCTGACACATAGGGCCCTCTATCAGTGCTTCTGCCGGCAAATCCTCAAAGAAATAAGTTCTGCGCCCAGACCCATGGACTTCCTGATCTCCTCTGTCCATTTTCTGTCTGCTTTTTACAAAGCATTGGTGAAGACTGAGGGAGGGAGGGAGGAGCAGGGAGAGGCAACGGAAAGAGGAAAGGAGTTGGATGAGCTATACGTTCAGATTCTGCAGAATGTGAACAGGCTGCTGACAGGTATGTGGGTCCATATTAAGAACAAACTTATCATTTACTTGTGCAATCAGCCACAGTTGTCCTTTCATTATTTATTTTTGCATATTCCACATAGTGACTGAAGTGATTAAAGTAGCTCCACCAATATGATGGATTGTCAGATTTGGCTGCAAACGGTTTAAAGTTTGAAGCCAATTTTGTAGGATTCTTTTAAAGTATATTTGAAAAAAACATGAAGCAAATGAAAAACAATTCTCATGACTTAGCATCAGGTCATGCGCATGTATATATATTAAAACACCATTACAGGTTAAATCTATTTGAAGATATTACTGATATTTTATGTTGTTTGCATCCACCCTGGAATTTAGCAGACTTATTTATACACTTTTATGTAGGATTGGGTGGAGTTTTATGTTTTAATGGTTCATCTTTGTCCTGAATTTAACATGTTTTCACTGTGCTTTCAGCTCCTTGGTTGTCTCTGACTGATGTCAGTGAGCTGGAGCCAGCAGTGCAGGAGCTGTTGCGCCACCTGGTGGAGAAAAGTACAACCAGTCAGTTCAACGTGCTGCTGCTGCTGATCAGAGAGGGACTGGACACTGGCAGGCTGAGGGCAGGAAACTACAGGGTGAGACCGAGATCAGCTCTGACAGCTTGTACACTTTAATCTCAAAAGATCCCAGGCGCTTTAGATTTTGGCTAATTTGTTTTCTCAGGGATGTTAGTATATGGTTGTAAATGAATTGTTCACTTTCTTGGCTGGCAGCAGTTTCTGCTTAGTGTTTTGTGTGACATTAAATACAGAACTAACTCTTCCCCTACTTGCTGTTCTCCAGGAGGCTCTATCTGCAGTAATCATCATTAAGCTGCTGTCCTGTTGTCAGCTACCTGAGAGCTGCTCTAAAGCTCTGTGGCTCATTGCACCACAGATTATATCTGCTATGGTGGTGAGAAAAACACACTCAAACATGCAGACTCACATGCAGTTGAAAAAATTAGCATGCTTCAGTGACAATACACACACAAACACACGTGTTACTCGGAGGCCCTGTTCACACGTCACATCAACAGGCGTCTTGGGTGATCCGATCGCAGGTGGATAGTCAAAGTACATCAGTTCACCCCTGGCAGTGAAATCCAAATCCACAAGTGACCACTTGTGATGGCATCTCACTTCCCTGCTCTATATGCAAATAAACATGTACGTCATTTCTGTTTGCAAAGACCCGATGCATTGCTGTATTTAACCGGCGGGAGGTAACAATGCACCTTCCATGCCTGGTCAGAAATGAAAAGAAAAGAATAAATCACTAATTTGCCTGTTGTTGCACATTAATATGATGCTCTTGGCACACAAATAAGTCCATACTTCCACTGGCACAGAGGAAGTCTGTGGAGGAAACAGTGTTTCATGACACACACTGTTTAAAGAATGTTAGCATATGCATCCAGACCACCTCAGAGCTCTGCATTTTTGATTGGATCTTTCAAGATGCATGTAAATGTCAGGTGTGAATCAGGCCATAGACAGATAAGTACCACACCTACCATTCAGGCTACAAGAATAGTAGTATTGTGTATATAACAGTATAGTACTTTTGCAGCTCTGTGAAGTTGCATCGCCCACATGCCCGTTTCACTAAGAAAGACCATCATTCAACACACCTACCGTGAAATCACTGGAATGAGGATATACTTGTTATATGTGTAGAAACCCCCTCTGAAACTATCTTCGTGCCAACTAAACCACTCGCTTAGTGAGATTCCTGCACACTGCCACTAAAATGGCTATCATTACATTTGAATAATTTAGCGCTTTAACTCTTTGTTTTTTCATGTGCAGATGAAAGGGAAACCATTAAGGCAGAGTTATCAGTGAGTCTTAATAGCAGCACAAAGACGAGCAGAGGATGGTGCCATGCTGAGAACATTTTATAGTATGTTGTATGTGTGTTTCAGCTCCAAATCGGGCATCGTTTTAGTGACAGTGTGCTGAAAGTACATGTAACGGCCGTCTTAAATGACCCATCAGCTAAGCGACAATCACAGTCTGCTGACTTTTTGCTGGGATGTCTCCTCGTTGTAATTTCCACTGAGACTGTTTTAGTCAGTATGATTCCCATCAGGTGAACACACACACATGCACACACAGCACTTTAATCTGCTAACCACGCTGTTCTGTCCTCTGTTAGCCACACTCACCGTGTCCATATGTTATCTGCCTAATGTGTAGTTTATGTATTTCTTTCACACTCCTCTTTAGGCAATGTGAGAGTACATCCATTTAAAAGTCTAAAATCATTAATATTTTACAGGCATTAAATTTCAATGTTACAAAAGCAGCAGAAATGTTGTTAAGGTCCCTTTTTTTCAGCAAGCTGTGGGTAAATATGGAACTGGGCAAAGCAGCACCATATCCCAAAAAGATTATTTTTATCAGAATTTTTTCCAATATAACAGGCCTTTTTTTTGTTTTTTTTCTTTTACAGGAGACAGTTAGTCACAGTAGAAAAAGCTCAGGTGTAAATAATTAAATCAGTGATGGCTGAACTCCTTTTAGCTGCTTCAGCTGGTGTTGAGCGTGTTGGCTCACTGTCTCCCTGTCACGGTTTACTGGGACACTTGAATAGAACAGAACCATTGTTTATGTTGTTAGTAACGCCTGTGTTGTTCCTAATAAGTCTAAATGTCTGCCGTGAAAAAGGCCTGCTGGTGTTGTCAGTTTTATATCTAATTTGGGAGTTGGTTACTTCCAGAAGCTGTAACAAGTTCACTGAAGAAGAAAACCCCAGAAATATTTCATGTGTTCCTGCTTTTATATTTGCGTCTGATGGTGTTTCTCTCACAAACTTTCACCATGTGCATCATGTTTATTTTACAGTTCTTGGTAGGAACATCCAGCGAGGATGTCTCTCTGACTCTTCCCTTCACCGTTCCCACGGTAACGTCAATGACATCGCTTCTGCGCCAGGGGGAGGGGCTTCTCACCAACCCTCATCATGTGACTCTGATCCTCGGAGCGCTCCAGTCGGTGCCCCTCGACCACCTGACCCCACCCGTCTACCAGTCGGTGTTCCTGGCTGTTCATGAGGCGCTGTTTGCCATCATCCAGTGTCATCCTCAGGTACGAAGAGGCAAATCAAATGTTGGTGGAGTGAGGCAGTGTGGTGATGAGTAAAGTTGCAGAGTTGCGGAAAGAAAAGTTATTTGGATGGCAGCAAGATCTAAGAAAGGTTATTGCCTGTGAGTTGTGCCTTCAGAAAATGTTCAGCCCTTTTCCATCTAAGCTGTATTACCTTATACGTTCTTTGGAAATGAACTGACACAGTTGATCAAAATAGTTGATTAAACCTGCTGTGTGGAACTTTTTTCTTCCCCTTTTTCAGACTGTAATCTTTTCTCTGAATGGGAAGTTTTTATTTTTTTATTCAGAGCATCAGAATCTTTCCTTGGATGCTTCTAGATTTTCCATCGTAGGCTCCTCCACACTCCAAGTTGCTGTAGCCTACTCTGCCTCTCTTCTGCTCTGACAAACCGGTCTGTTTGGGTATCATGGACAAAAGATTTATAACTCTGGGATACTGTAATTTACAGAAGGATTAGCTGCCACTGAAGGCTCAATCAGCCTTATTTGAACTCGTTTAGCTTCAATGTAAAGGTGCGTTCATTGACATGTAAAAGTTCTGCATTCTAGCTTTAAATGCCTTCATCCCTTATGCAAGAAAAACACAAGATGGAGATCATAAAAGAGGGCCAGACAGACAAATATGCACTTAGAGTTTGGTTCCCACAGTTCTATTAAGAAACACTTAAAGGTGAAGTCAGCGATTCTAATCCAGAACACTTTATGTCAAATTTAGTGAAAATCTCCTCATGGTCTGCTAACTGTCCAATCTGTGAACATGCTGAAAGAAGGTCCGCCACCAAACATAACAGATGGATCCATACAACACTATTGGTGCTCATGACAAGTGCAAAGGGAGAAGAAGGGGAGGCGGAGGAGAAAGGAGACAATGGCAGTAAGTTGGGCTCATGCTAACTAGCTATCGAGCTCAACATCAACAATCCTTCTCCAGAATTGCAGACTGCACCTTTAAATTCAACCTTTAATGACACAATATTGATGAAAATCCGATTACATCAACTAACAGACACACAGAGAACATCCATCCATGATCTGTACACCACTTAATCCTCACTAGGGTCGCAGGGGGGGCGCTGGAGCCTGTCCACAGAGAACTCCAAACACAACATCTGGCTGAATCCATGACCTTGCAGATGTGAGGTGACACTGAGCTGCAAGCACCTCAAAATCCCAGAGTTTATGAGGCTGGTTGAGAAGACCGCAGACACTAGTCAGGGCTGAAAATCTCCCAATTCCTGTGCTTTTTTTATGGTTACAAAATAATTCAGCTTGTTTTGTTTACCAATCATTCTCTAAAAAGGAACATTTGATTTGAACACAAGTGAAAAAACGGAACTTCTTTTTCTAGTAAAGATAGAAATAATTTCCCCTCCCCACTTACGAAACCAAATCTACAGCCTTGTGTAATGAAGGTCACTATAGGTCGAGGCTGCTTGTTTGAATCCATGATTCGAAGAAAATGCAGTGTGTGCGCCCACAGGATGCCCCAGAGGAATGTCGCTTTCAACCAAAGGATATTGCAGCTCACCAGAGTCATGCTGCAGCTGCATGAAAACCTCATAACGTCCACATGGTTGGCTTTTACTGGAAGTGTTTAAATTACACCCAAAGCATCAGAAAGAAACTGAATTTAGTTTTTTGCCTTAAAGAAAGCACATAAAAGTTTTAAATGAGAACATACACATTCCTGCCCACACACTGCCTTTTGTTGTGCTGGTGTTAATGTGATAATTTTCCAGTTTGTCACTCTCTGAAATGTTGACAGTTTTTTTTTTTTTGTTCAGAAACAGTGACAGAGCACGACTGAATTGGGGCAGCTGCATTGTATAAAACAGGCCAGGAACCAGCTAACTGATATCAGATGTTTGTGCGGACAAGAGACAGCAAAGGAGAACGGCAGAGAGGGAGGGACGGGGGGGAGGGAGGTATAATAGAGTGGAGAAAGGACGATGTGAAGGAAAGCAGAGTACATTCATAGAGGAAGAGAGGGGAATAAAACATAAGTGATAAAGAGATGAAAGAAGCTGGAGATGGAGAACAAAAGTGTAAGATTTAGCAAGAATGTGATACACGAGAGAAGTTTGAGGACAAAATGGAAACGAGGGGTGTGAGCCGGAGAGAGGAGGTGTGATAGGACAGAGAGGAGGGGAGGGAGGGAGGGAGGGAGGAGGTGGAGAGGTAGGGGAGTTGGCATGCAGAGTAGGTTGGCATGAAGCGGGTTTAAGTCGATGGAAACCATCGCTGAGCTCCAACCAGAGCTGGTGACATCATCCCTCGTTTATATTCACTCTGCCTCTTCATCCCTCCTTCAGTCGGCTGCAGGCCTTGAACAGACACCAGAGGAGAGACGTATAGGCAGAAACGCAAACGTAGCTCTCGAGGGAATCCAACTTTTACCTCAGTGGTTTTGCGAGCTGTGACTTTACGACTGCTTCGTTATGGCTCGAGCAGCGAGAGTGATGTCAGAGACGGACTGCCTGGACCAAATTTTGAAAACGGCTCTGTGTTAAATTCTCTGTGTGAATATGAATGTCGTAACACGTTTCACTGCTCCTTCAAAAGTGTCTTTAAATTCAGAAATATTTTACTGCTCAATCAATGCGTCTGGCTGAGCAGGATTCATGTGCAAGTCGACTGTATTAGAGCCGTGAATAGGCGGTGATGAAGTCAGCTGGAAATCCTCAAGAATCAATGTCTCAACTCTCCTATGAATATCACCGTGTGGTCTCCATCAGTCTTTGTGCCTTTGAGCAATACCAACGGAGCTCTTCTTAGAGCTTAACAGCCTTTTATCTGTGAGAACTACATACAACATACACTGATCGACCGTAACATCCAAACCAGATGCCTAATTTCGTGGAGGCCCCTCCGATGGCACAATCGATTGTGACTGTTCTGGGCATGAACACAGGACCTCTGAGGTGTCCTGTGGTGTCTGGCAGCGGGATGTTAGTAGCAGATCCTTTGGGTTGGGAGTCTCTGCAGATTTGGGATTGTTCCAACACGTCCTGCGGATGCTCCCATCAGATCAGGATCTGGGGAGTTTGGCAGCCTGGAGCTCTTTGTTGTGTTGCTCGAGCTGCTCCTGATCAGTTTTTGTGGCAAGGTGCTGCTGGAAGAGGCTGCTGGCGTCAGGGAGTGCTGTCAGTGGTTGTGCTGCTGCGGCTGATTGGTGTACTTGCATGACCGTATACCTCTTGTCTGCGTTTGCAGGTGATGTTGAACGCAGCTCCGTCGTTCATAAACGTCTTCTATCGTCTGGTGGCGTCTATCATGCAGGAGGGTCGGCAGAGAGGAGACAGCGACTCAGGTAACGCATACAGGACAACGATTTGTGTTTTGGATCAAAGAGAAGCGCTTTACTTTTGTCTGTGTGTGTTTGATTTAATGCTTTTGGTGCATGTTTGAGTGCACAGTGAAAATCAGGAGGGTTTGTCATGTCCTCAAGTCCTCTCATGTCATATATAGAACTGTCATCATACGGTTCAGTCCAGGTCTGACTTGTGGTTTTGATGCCCTCCTGTCACTCAAATGTACCCAGAATAACACCGCATAGTACTAAAGAGAGTAAATTGCATTGTGTAAACTGGAACTGACAGGTGCTCTGTGTCGTCCCCAATCACATTTCAACACTGCTGGCAGTAGCCTCCCAGAAACTTAAGAAAGCTGAAAACAATCTCGATTCATCTTTCAGTTTGAATCCACTGGGAACTGCAGACATCTGTTGCGAACATCTCTACTTAGTCACCATAGAAACTATTTTTTTTACACATCAACAAGAGTGTTGTTGTGGATATCGCTTTAACGTTTGATGTTTTTATATTTTTGCACTTAAAGTCTGTTCTTTGTAATTCTTCCAGGCCAGTTTTTCTGTTATCTTCCCGTAAAAAAATGAATTAAGAGAATAAGTCCCAGGTGTAAATTCTAACTTCATTTGCCACGTATTAACAAGTTAATGAATTAACGCTGTTCACCCTGAAGGTGCGGATGGTGACGTGTATTTGCAGTGCTCCAGACTGATACAGAGGATGTACTCTCACATCGCTGCTGCAGCCGAGAGCTTCACTGTGCTGTCAGCCTTCATGGTGGCTCAGTACGTCACAGAGTTGCAGAAGGTATTTTTTTTTTCTTTCTTTTTTTTTTAACCAATATTTGCATTGGAAAATTATTCATTCTGACGGTTTTACGATTCGGTGACAGAGCAGTAAAATGCCAGCACACAGCACACACACACTCACACACACACACACAACCGCATACAGTCATAATATCATACAAAGCCAATACAGTTCCTCATCCGAAGCCATCTGTCATCCCCTGTGATTTTCTACAGCTGTGAGTGACACACACACACACAACACACAACACACAACACACACATGTATGGAAGCGGCAGGAGGATCTCAGCTGATCCTTTGATCCGGCACAGTTTGTCTGCTGCCCGTCGAGCTGAGTGACGGAGATGCTGACGCTCCAGAAGCAGAGATGGGGAAGCATTTCCATCGGCCAAATTGTAGATGTTCCCAAATCTGAGCGAACAGGCCCGGGATTACTGTAACTCCATGTGCTGGAGTGAAGCTTTAGGCTGGATGTTCCCTCAGTACAGTGAGTCACGTCTGGCCGGGGAGCGCGGCTCCTCTCCGCTGCCAGACTGTATTTAACGTGACGCCAGCCTGACTCAGCAGTTTCCAGCAGAGTTACACACGGAGAGGAAGACATTAAAGTACCCATGCAGACCGACAGACAGACAGACGGGCAGAGACAGGAAGACAAATAGAGTGAAAGAGATGTTTTACGATTCTTTGAAGTCTGTGTGAATCATGTAATAATCCTAAAATTGGATTTATATTGTGCGTTGGATGGAGGACCAAAGAGATGGTCCCTCTTTGGAAGTCAGAGGTAATTTAGCCGTCGCTGGCTCTTAGCTGGGACCGAACTACTTATGCAGCAGCCAGGTGTTATTAGACAAGAGCTGCAGCGAGTGGAGTAGCTGGTGGAGTTTCTCTTTATATTGAACAAGCCTTCCTTTGACAACTAAGTTGGTTTTTGCACAGTGTCGGAATCATGATGATGGATGCAGCAAAAACTAAAATATCCCCCGAAAAAATCCACACACTCTGCTCCCTTGTCGAAACTTGGCGCCTACATTACCCACAATGAAACTCAACCACTGACAGTTGGCGATTCAGGACGTTTATCAGACTCCCAGTTCTCTCTGGAGACACAGAGACACAACTTTTTCACATATGCAGTGGAACTCCTATACACCTGCAAACAGACTTTGATGTGCAGGTAAAAATATGTCACCAGTATAGGTGCAGTTGCAGATAGACACAGCGTCAGCAGGTAGGGAGGTCAACCCACTGTTAGAAGAAGTTTCTCTGTGTTTACATTGTGACATTCAGCAGCAGACACAGGCTTGTTTACTGGCAGCACTGTAGAGCTTTGCACAACATATGACACCCTCGTCTTTGTTCTACAATTTGGTTGAAAAAAGAAACTCAATAAAGATTTTATGAAGGAAACAAAAAAAAAGGACAAACCTCAGTAAAAGCAGCAGAGTATGTTCATATTCACAGAGCAGACAAAAGAGCCAAGAGCAGAATTACAAACAGCAGAAATACACAGGTGGCTGCTGATGTGCCAGCGCTCGGCTCCTGTTCTCTTTGAGCGTGTCTGGATCCAGATCCAGGTGTAATAACAACATTTAGGTACGAGGGCGCTTGGTGTACCTCCAACTGTAACATTTTGCAGACTGCCGCTCCACATGACATTCGATTGGTTGGCTTTGTGTACACAAAACCCACCATGATTTGTTCCTCTCATAACATGAAACCTGCAATTAGGCGAGCAGTGTTTTATGTCATCATTTAGCCGGTACAGTCACCAGCGCAGAGCAGCCGTCGCCTGCTCGCTCTTTGTCTCGACGAGTGTCAAAGGCCTGAGGACCGCGGTCGCCGTAGATACCATCAGGTCACAGAGGGTAACACCTGTATACCTGTGTGGGTGTTGTGTAACAGAGATGAATAACCAGATGCTATTGAGTATCCTCATGGCTTGTTAGTCAGGGTTCACTGAGCACAGTAATTAGTTTTGGTTGTGTTGCACTGCGCTGCTTCTGTCACTCAGGTGCACATAAAGTGTATTCAACTCCCTATTTCCACAATCCTCTGTAACACTATAAGCCCATGTAGGCCGGACCACATTATTCTGTTCTGGATCATTTGACAAAATCCTGTATTGAATTTCAGATCTGAACTCCAGTGCGGTTTGAAAATAATGCGGTCCACTCGGCTTTCAGCTGAGTTCAGTGAAAGAAAGAAGCTGATTCTTAACATGAAGTTTAAGAGCAAAGCGGATTTGTAATAATAATAATAATAATAACACATGAAAATGAACTCCATTTTTTCTGATGCCTCTGGCAGTTTAAATCCAGGTTTATGGACCCTTTTTTGTGATTTTTCTGTTATAATTTTACCTCTTTTAATATATGCTGTGTATCAGTGTTGTGTTTTAGTATTAACATTTGCACATGGTGCCAGGTTTGGTGTTGTCAGTACTTTGATGCCTCTAATTGAAACACAGAGCAGAATGTAGCACCTAAATAATTATTCAGCTTTTCTGACGCATAATTTATGGTTTGATATATTTGCCTCAGGCTGTCCCTCAGGCTGGAGCATATTGCCGCATATAGTATCATGTTACCATAAAAAAGATGATCTTGGTGTAGTGCATGCAGGAGATGGGGAAGCAGACACATTGGAAACAGAGGCAGGATCACGACTGCCTCGCATGAAAGCCCATTGATGGAATTTCAACAAGTTAAACAAAGATCTATTTAATGAAACAGACAGACATTGTTTGGCCTCAGATCCATCTGTGTCACTTCTGCCATGTTTAAAAAATCCTGTGTTTCCTCCCATCCTCTCCTCTGCTGTCCTCTCCAGGTCACTCTGCGACCAGATGTGAAGCTGCATCTGACTGAGGGCATCTATCAGATACTTGACCTGTGTGTTGAGCAGGATATCAAGTTCCTGACAGCCGGACTGCAGATGGGAGTCAGGGAGGTGTTCAACGAGCTGTACAGCAGCTACACCCACTACCACAAAGCTCAGAGGCAAGGGGAGGACAAGTACACAGTTTGAGCTGCCAGAACAAACACCGGCGACCTTTTCTTCAGCTTTCGATGTAATTAAACGGAATTACATTTTCTGGCTGTGCTTATGTGCAACTTTTGCTTTCAAATGGCACACCGGGCAGAGCAGCTTGTGGACACCATGTGATGTGCACAGAGAGTAAACACACTGAAAGCTCACTGTACTTTTGTTTTTACTCTTCCGACACAGTTTTTTGATACAATTCACACATTGGACGTCACAGTGTTTCTTTGAATTCTGCCCCTCCAAAACAGCTGCATTCCCACAGCTAACTGGTTTCACCTCTGTGAATACAATCCCGAGCGCAAATAGACAAAAGGAGACCTGTTGATGCTTTGAAAATGCCCCGAGGAGGGTTAAAGCCAGACCAGCAGGTATTACAAACACAGTTGTATCACCTCATATGAAAATCTTTTGACTGCAACAGGGTTGAGAAACGCAACGCTGGTTACAGGCAGATAGCTTTGATTACACTATAAACACAGAGCACATGGCAGACTGGAGGAGAATTAGCTGTTAACCCTCCTCAGATGTCACAGAGACCAGACACTCTGTGAACAAGCTCCTCAGGAAAAACCTCCCCTCACTGAAGATATGATTAATATAACGTATAAAATGTTGTAATTTAAGAAATCAGTGAGCTATTACCATTTATTGATTTGCTGAAAACTGTATGAATGTGTGTAAATCGTGCTTCATTTCTTCTTTATTGCTGTTTTTTTTTTTTTTTATAATAACTAAATGATTTGAACACTGTCGCTTTCATTGTCTTTCATTGTTATACATTCGTGTGAACAAGCTGACGCACTCGATTAACGACATACAAGGTTTTCAAGCAGCACCATTTTTTTTTTTACATGTAGTTTTTCCAGATATTTGGCAGATGGGGTGTTAAGATGCTAGCCACAGATCTGCTGTTGATTTAAAACTGCCTCCATTGCTTCGGTCTCTTCATGTGACTTCATCCTGATGTTGCTGAAGACGGATCTGTGTGACTCAGACTGTGTGTTCCGGTTCGTTGTCATGCTGCAGAAGGAATCTGGGATGATCAGCTGCCTCCCTGATAGCGCTGTATTACTGATGGATACCTCTCTGACATCCAGAAATGTCAGCTCTGAACCTGCCAGTAACATCCACCACGCTGCACTGCTGCATGCAGGTGCTTATTCTTTGGGTGGCCATTGCTCAAGAAGGCAGAGTGGGTTTTTTACTCATGGTAAAGTCTGACCCCTGCCCCTTCTTGTGTCCTCGGGCAAAATGCTGAACTCCAAGTTGCTAAAATATTGACTCGTCGTTGCCATTTTTCTTCCTGTGTTTTTGTGCACAGGTGAGTCTCCTCGCTTTAAGTCTATTTCAAAGAAACGGCTTTTTTGACTTGCAACACTTCCACAAGACTGCTTCTGGTGTATAAAAAAGGAAGAGTAACTAAAAATAACGCACTCTACCACTTTAAGATAGAGGGCTTTTCCAGGGTAACACTGGTCTCCTCAACAGTTCTGATGGCACTGCTGGACATCTTCCAATTTCAGAGGTAAGTCAGCCTGATGTGTCTTTTTTTTCCCTGCTGCATCACTTTTTTTTATTTTTTTTGCTTGACTTGGAATATTTAGCTGTTTTTGAAAGGAATCACAGAAGTTCTAAAAATAACAGACAAATATTTGTGAAATATTTAACGTTCTTTCCACACTATCATTCATGTGCATCTTTGCCTTTTTTGGACTGAGCAGTAGGGGATCAGGTGAGTTGTTTCTGGTGCACAGGCTCCAGTTTCAACTCAGGAAACGGACACAAAATCAGAATCACTTTATTGATCCCCTATAGGGTAAATTGCTTTCAATTACAGATACTCCCAATCAGAAGTCTTAAAAGAAGTCGGAAAGTAAAGCTATATAATAAAATGTAAAGCACTAATACGCAAGTAAAATAAAATATAACACAAAAATAAATATACATTCTGCTGTTGTGAGTGTATATACTATGTAATAATGATAATAGTACTACCATTTGGATTATTGCACATAGCTTGGTTATTGCAAATGGAGCTGAATACAAAAAATACAGACACAAGATCCAGGTGACTTGCACAACAGCAAAAATGAAGGTACACAATTAAAAAAAGTCTGTACAGCAAAATCAAGTCTTGTACCCATGACGAGGAAAACAGCTGGATCTTTAACTCCTGCCTCTCAATCAAAAAACAGCTGAATGGGCTGTCTTTTTCAGGAACAAAACAACCAATGATGAATTAAATAAGGGGCTCAGCAGTGTTAAACAAACAACTAATCATTAAGTGGATTTATAGAATCTCAAAGATTTTACGAGGTTTTACACTATAAGGCGTCGCCATTGTTTCTATCATCACTAAACACACTCTGTTGTCCTGCCAACCTCATTAACTGTTTGGATTTACTGCACATGCTCTGTTTGCGTGCAGCTGGGAAAACAGTAAATCTAATGAGTGGGAAAAGCACTAATGAAGGTACATTAAAGCTACTGTAAATCTGTCACTGAGCTGCTTTATGTTTATAGAAACTAAATGACACTTGTTTCATTTCTAACAGAGCCATGGAGCTGCTCATACACTGTAAACTGATTACTGAACTGACTGTTTGTAATGCAAAAGAGCAAAGAAAACTGTCTGGAAGATGATTACTGTAGGAAAATATATGATCAGGGTATTTAATAATTTTCTTTTTCAGCATCAGGAGCAAATATATGAACATGCAGTGAAAACATTAAATGAATAGACTCTTATAAAATGCTTTCTTGAGCAAACAGAAAACTCCTCTGTTACAGGTTTTTGTGCATCATCGCTCAGAAATGGGGAAAAATGTTAAATTACAAAATAGGAGCATCAAGTTCAAGAAAATAGAAAATTGTTCTTAAAAGTCTTGTTTTCGAGCCGTCTTCATCCGTAAAAGCTCCACAAATGAGACGTGTAGTTAACCTGAAATAGCTCGAAATGTTTCCACCGTCTCCCGCAGCACATCTCAGAAAAGCTGGACACTTTTGTTTTGACTCATCCTGTTTGTTCCCGGAAAACTGCGCGGGAATCGAAATATGAAGGCTGAGCAGGCCACGAGGCTCCCTGTAGGGGTTAGTCATGGTGCTCTGCAAAGCAAGAACGTATGAGTGTAAAATAATGTTTCTAGTGCGGCTATAGAGGAATGGTGCTCACACAACTGCTCATGTGACATTTTGGGAATGTGGGTAGCATTTGTTGTGCTGTATTAACTGTAAAAATGCTGCTGATGGGAGTAAATACATCCAACCAGCTGCAAAAAAAATGAAAAAAATCTAACTTGATGATGGAACTAAAAATTAACTTTTTGTCTCTGCTGGAGCTTCACAGTGTGACAACTGATGTGTGGAAGTTTTTTTAAAAGAAGGTTGTGTTGTTTTCTCTCAGATAATTATGTCAGCAGTTAAATGAAAACTGGTTGCTAGGAGACGTTCTGCCATGTTGGACTCTTCTGTGAGCGAATGGAAGCAAACTGAGGAGCTGTTTTTTTTTTCTGGGTAAAAGGCACTAGAAAGTTCACGTTTTAGCTCTTTAGATTCGAGGGTTTATAATATATGTAAAGCACACGAAATGTTTTATCGGTAGTTACTTAGAGTCTCTAAGTAAAGCTGTAATTGATGCTGGAGGCTCAACAGAAAAGGCTGAGCTGAGTTTCTTAGCCAACTGGAAAAAAAACTCACATTTTCCCAGC